CAATATTTATACCCAGAAGTAAACAAAGGGCTTAACAGACCATAGTGGTCATGCATAATCAATCAAGATTCTACAGGATAAAACAGGTTAAAATGTAAATTAAGGAAGAGAAAAGGGGGAGATGGCTACTTAAGGGGAGGGGGGGGGACATGGAGAGGTAGGAGGGCAGAGCTTTGTTTTAAAGTTGCGACAGAGACATCAAGTTCTGGGTTAAGTTTAAGCTCATCAAAAGTTCAGACTCAACACAAATACCGTAGTGCAATCTCTTTATCGTGAAAGTGCAATTTACAAATGTAGATTTTTTTTACATAAAACCAAAACAATGTCAAACAGTCTACAAGTCCACTCAGTCCTCATACTTCTTGTTTAGCCAATCGCTAAGACAAACAAGAATGTTCATATTTATGGGAGATATGCCGCCTGCTTCTTATTTGCAATGTCACCTGAAAGTGAGAACAGGCGTTAGCATGGCATTGTTGTAGCCAGTGTTGCTCTGACGCATGACCAGAAAGGGTTAAGCGTCCTGTGGGATAAATGACTCAAATTCAACCCTTAAAGACATGGGGAGATATTTTTTGTGTATTTGCATATATATTGGTAGTAGTCAACAATGTAATCAACAGTCCCTGTCTATGCTGTATTCTGTTAATTCAGAAATCAAAAGAACATCCTAGCATTTAAATGAACTGTAAACATGGGATATCATATTCATCTCTCTTTGAAATGTATAACTGATCATCTGCGAATGGTGAAAAACAGGCAATTGCCTTATGTTAATTCGTGTAGCTAAGTACTGCTGATGGACCTACTTCAAAGTTGCTCTGATTACGTATTGTAAGCCAAAACAACGAGGTGTCCTTGCGGCACCTTAGAGACTAACAAATTTATTTGGGCATAAGCTTTCGTGGGCTAAAACCAATTTCATCAGATGCATGAAGTGGAACATACAGTAAGGAGGTATAAATACACAGAATATGGAAAGATGGGAGTTGCCTTATCAAGTTGGGGGTCAGTGCTAACGAGCCAATTCAATTAAGGTGGAAGTGGGCTATTCTCAACAGTTGAAAAGAAGGGGTGGAAATCACTTTCGTAGTACTAATGAGGCCAATGTAAAAAAGGTGGCCCATTTCAAACAGTTGACAAGAAGGTGTGAGCATCAGCAGGGGGAAATTTAGTTTTTGTAGTGACCCATCCACGCCCAGTTATGCCCAAATAAATGTGTTAGTCTCTAAGATGCCACACGGACTCCTCGTTGTTTTTGCTGATACAGACTAACATGGCTACCACTCTGAAACCTATTGTAAGCCAAGGGACTCTGACCTGTCAAAGGAGGCTTGAAACTGTATAAAAGTTCCTTGGGTCCTGATCCTGTCATCTCAGATCTGCTTTAGGTTCCATACAGGGGAAGCCTAAGCCATCAGGACTCAGATCCCAGTTCTGACTGGACCATCCTGAAGACAAACATTGGACTATAACCTATGGACTAAATTCTAAAAGAACTCTTGCAACTACAAAGCTCACATCTCTGCTATGAATCTAAATCTTAAGATTGACTCATGTTTGTATGTATACTAACCTTTTAACCTATACTCTCATCTTTTTTAATAAATTTCAGTTTAATAAGAATTGTCTGTAAGCATATATTTGCGTAAGATCTGAAACATTCATTAACCTGGGAGGTAATGTGTCCGATCCTTTGGGATTGGCAGAATCTTTTCTTTTATATGGTGAATAAGATTTTAATCCTCCTCATATCTGACTTGGGTAACTAGGTGGAGGCCTGAGGCTCGGTTATTTTAAGGGAACTGTGTTGTTGGCTTCTGGGTACCGAGTGAGGTATTATAGAAGCTGTTTTGTGTTGGCTTGGTGAATCCATTGGAATATCCACCAGCTTTGGGGATTGTCTGCCCATTCTTTGCAGTTCACCCTAATTGAGTGACCTCAGTTAGCTCCCCGTGGAACCCTCTCACACCAGTGTTGCAAGATATTTACATGCTAGATATGCTAAACATTCATATGTCCCTTCATGCTTCAACCACCATTCCAGAGGACATGCTTTCATGCTGATGATGGGTTCTGCTTGATAATGATCCAAACGAAGGACCGACGCATGTTCATTGTCATCATCTGTCAGATGCCACCAACAGAAGGTTGATTTTGTTTTTTGATCGTTCAGGTTCTGTAGTTCCCCTATTGGAATATTTTAAGACTTCTGACAGCATGTTCCACACCTCGTCCCTCTCAGATTTTGGAAGGCACTTCAGATTCTTAAATTTAATACTATTTCTTTTGTTTGCCTTTTTGCAGTGCAAATATTTGTAATCACAAATAATATAAAGTGAGCACTGTACACTTTGTATTCTGTGTTGTAACTGAAATCAATATATTTGAAATGTAGAAAAACATCCAAAAATATTTGTAATAAACTTAAATTGGTATTCTATTATTGTTTAACAATGTGATCAAAATGGCGATTAATCGCAACTAATTTTTTTAATCTCGCAGTTGTGATTTTTTAAAATCGTTTGACAGCCCTAGTTATTTTCTGTAAGTTCTGTAGGACTTCTCCATGTGATGGACACCTTGTCTTTGCATTCCACCAAGTACTAAATCAAAATCCAAGTTGTGAAAATATGTATAGGTAATATTAATGTGCATGATGTGGTGCGTGAATATTTCTTCCTTTTCACATGTGGATAATACAAACAAAAGTTCCTTGTTGGAATCACAAAGCAAATGTCTAGCTACATAAAAATAGCTGATAACCACTAACATTCACAAATTTCATCTGATGAAGCCACAGAGAAGAGAGGAATCACATCAGGTTGTCAGAAAGAATGTGCAGTTGTTTTTTCTGGCTTTTGAAATTCAGACTTCATTCCTGTACAGTACCTGGCAATAGTCACATTCTGATTTCCCTAGAACGTCTGTATTCGAGACTCGAAAGCCAGTGTTGCTTTTGACTATCAATGTTAGCAAGTTCACTTCCATAGCCTCTATTAATAAACTGGACAGGGCAGAGGCATCCTTGTCAGGGTCTAAAGCTGCATAACTGTGGTGGTGTTTGTGCATTACAGTAGGGTAAGGATAATAGGGCATAATTTATCTAATGGAGCCAGCAACAAGGCTATTCAACTGCTGGCTGGTTTGGGGATACTCCAAATATTCAATGAAAAACAGCAGCTCTGGTAAAAGGAGATGTAGATTTGGAGCCTCTTCATCCTGGGAAAAAAAAGAATTAGCAAATTCAATTTTGCACAAATGAAAAGTGGAAAATCCACAGCAACACTAATCTGAATATGCCCAAGCATGCTGTTTTATTCTGTCCTACAGTATGGTTCTGCTTCTAATGAACAGAAGAGCACTTGGCTGGTATACTGTATAGCAAGGGAGTAAGTATTAGCTACAGTGAACTTTAATTTTTGGACCCTTCGTTTCTAATGCAAATCAGCAGCACATAAGAGATGAATAGTCCCAGGGAAACCAGTGCTGACATTCAATCAGCCCCAGGGAAGGGAGGAAGAAAGTAGTATGAGGGGTATGGAGACCAGAGGGCGCACCTGGCATAGAAAAGGGCAAAGAGAGACAGAAAAGGGACACCACTGGATGGTGAGTCAGGGATATTTTTATTATAGTACTCATGTACAACTTGCTTTCCAGTTATGGACACACTGAATAAGCTGCTCACTGAGCCCCATTCAGTGTGCGCATTGAATGAAGCAGAGGTCATGTGGAAAAATTAGGATGTGATCATGTAATTAGACTATATCATAATGCATATGCACATTAATGCAGGGGGCTGAATTAAAGTTGCATGGGCAACCTTAATTCTGGTATTTACTGACTTTTGGGCGCTTGACTTTAGCTTAATAATGTTCTTCTAATGTATTTTGTGTGTGTGAGAGAGAGAAATTTCGTAAGTTTTTTAAAAGAGCAAACTGAAAAACAAAAAGCAGAAATTCCATCATGTGGCATCATATTGACACCCATAAGGGTCATCATCAGGATTGGAACCTTCAGCACAGGTCTCTGGCACTTGAGCTAACGGAGTAATTGATAGCAGTATAAATTGTCATCCTCTCTGTGCACCAGAACTCGAGGAATGGGACACCTTGACAATGGGTTCATAGATATCTGTTGATGTGGAGGAATGGTGAGGCTCAGGAATCTTGGGTTCCATTCCAGGATCTGGAGGGGAGTGTGGTCTAATGGGCACACATACAGGTGCCCCATCCCCTCTAATGTGTTCCTGTTCCAAGCTGTCTATTCCTTACCCCCGGATCCTCGTCCCAGTCTCATTCTTGTCATCTACCCAGTCCTAGTCTGTACTCCTCAGGATTCTCTTCCCAATCTTACTCAGACAGTCCTAATCTCCCCCTCCTGGCATCTTGTCTGATCTGTGTATCTCTGTGTCCTCCAGATCACCACCCCATGTGTCCATATTGGTCATGCCCACTGCCTGTCAGTCTCCCAGGCGCCTCGGTGTCTCCACTAACAAGGGCTTGTCACAGTCTCTTTGCTCAGTCAGTCCCAGTTCTCCCTTCCCCCCACATCCCAGCTCCTCATCAGATCGGTCTTCCCTTCCCCTGCCTTCTTCTCCCACCCCTCTGATTCCTAGCCCCAGAGTCCCTGCCTCCACCCATTCACAGTTCCTTGTGCCAGCCTCTGGTCTCAGTCTCCCCCTTAACTCCTCAGGCTCCTTGTCCCAGTCTACCCCGCCCCCACTTGTCCAGCTCTTGCCCCCCTGTGCATTTGAAACAAGCAGCTGCTTCTTTCAAACTGCCTGGTGTCAGCCTAGGAGAGTCAGGTTCTTTGCTCTCAGCTCAGGTGCCTCAACCCAGACCCTGGGTCCTGGCACAGTCTGAAGCAACCTAGAGCTTCAATTACAGGGAAAGTCTTACTCTGCCGGGGCTGGAGAATGCTCAGTGAGGATGGAATATCGGGGGAATTTAGCTGACTCTAGCAAGTCTCTACTGAGCATATGCAAACTGCTAAATTTGGGAGGATTTTCATGTGGGAGGCAAAAGGCACCTTCCTGACACAAAGGCCACCCACCTTGCCAAATGTCAAGTCCCTGATCAAAAGCAGTGGGACACTAGAGCTGCTCAAAGAAAAGGTCCCCAGAAGTTTGTAACATGGACAAAGCAATGTCTTTTTTCACTAACCTCATTCTTGGAACAACCACCATTTTGCATGAAATTTATTAAAAATATTCAGCCTGAGGCAGACACTTGATATGGAAAATTTTCAGCCTAAATGGTTAACATTTGGGAAAATCACAAACAACTGAAAACAGGGTTTTATCATAGAAAGTGTTGGGCAACCTTAATATTAGGCAGTACTATCAGGCTGGCCTATAATGTGATATTCTCCCCCTGCCACACACAAACACCCCACCCCCGCCCCCGGTCCACTGCGAAGTAGTTAAAAGCACCAGGTTTGACATAGCAAACACATATAACGGTGCTCAATCAATGCTGTCCTGTGAGCCATGGGAACTGTATGATGGGAGAGGATAGGAGTGGGGTAGTGGCCTCATAGTGCCAAAGTCCTAAAGCCACTGAGGAAACACTCTGGCCTTGTGTTATCTCTCTGTCTGGAATGTAAAAGGAGTCATTTGCTTACCTAGCAGAGGGCATGAACTCTCTTAAGACTCTGCTTGTGTTTTTTTAATTCACTATACATTGACTGCTGTAAGAATAGCTAGTCATTCAAAAATGTCCTTTAACACTTTGAAACTTTAGCACCCCCTCAGAGTTGGCCCATTGCCTTCTTTGCAGACTACAGCAGGCTTGGCTGGCAGAAGTATAAACTCATAAAAATGCTCTGTAGCAATAACCCAAAGCTCGGTCTTATAATTAGGTTTGGCAGGATTAGATATTTTTGGGAAGTGTCGGTAAACTGATTTCATCATACACAACTCGACAAAATTTAGGCAGGCAAAGTAAGAAGAATGCTGCTTGACAACTTGTTAGTGTTTGATTTAAGGATATTCACTTTGTATATTTTGACATGTGATACTGACAATTTGTGTTTTAACGATCATAGAGCTTCAATTTTTTGAATCTCAATGTCTGCTGTCATTAAGTAATTATTCTCTGACCCCTCCATTGTCTGACACCCCATGATTTACCATGCCAGTGAAAATGTAAATAGATAAAAATAAGAAAAAAAGCTTTAAAATAAATATCGACAGTGTCCATCTAAATTGTAAATAAATAAAAATTGAATTCTGCCAAGCCTACTTACAATAGACATACTGCAGTGATTACTGTACCTCTATCCAGAGATTTAAGATATCCACCACCATAGTATCTGAATCCAGAATGCTGTAGTTTTATCTGAAGGGAAGGCCCATCACTGATGTTGTTTCTTGCCTGTTTCTGAAATGAAATTTATATGAAAAATGAGGGGCAGATGCTTGTGAGTGGCTTAAACCAGTGGTTCTCAACTAGGGGTATACAAAGGTCTGTACATCAACTCATCTACATACAGACAATGACTTGTTTATACTGCTCTATATACTATAGTACACTGAAATGTAAGTATATTTATATTCCAATTGATTTATTTTGTTATTATATGGTAACAATGAGAAAGTAAGCAATTTTTCAGTAATAGGGTGCTGTGACACTTTTGTATATTTTTATGTTTGATTTTGTAAGCAAGTAGTATTTAATTGAGATGAAACTTGGGGTACACAAGACAAATCAGACTCCTGAAAGGGTACAGAAAGGTTGAGAGCCATTGGCTTAAAGCTTTAAAGAGAAGGATAATTATGCAAAATTAATTCAAGAAAACAGGGCTGTATCCTTAGCTCTGCAACTGAAGTTCTTTGTATCCGTGTTCCCATCTGTAAAGGGGTGGAGATAATATTTCCCTAGTTCATAGGAGTGTTATGAGGCTTGAGTCCATTATTATTTCTAAAGCTGTTTGATCATCTCAGTTGAAAGGACCATTCAAGTAGTAATTTTAATTAGATTAGTTTGCAGATTTCCTATTGGGATTGTGATAATATTAGCTATAACTATCTAAGAATGGGTTCTCTTGATGCATCGCCCCGCTCCCATCTGGCACAGGTAGACCCACAGGCAATCCCCTCCCTCCTTGCCCTTTATTTTAGGCAATGCTTTACAACCCTTCTCCTTTGATGTGGCTTTTAAATTGTCCCAAAGGGCAACCAGCCTCCTAAGGCTGATGACAATGCTATATTATAAACTGTCCAGCAAATGTGCCAGTGACCATCATTTCCATATCTCCCATTCTCCCTTGTTCAAGATCCTGTTTCTTCTACAATGCTCCTGACCTCTGTTGTCCTGTGATGGAGAGATCTGAGATTGTTCCAAATCTGCTTATCTCATCCTGAGAAATATGTAGCACTACTGCCAAGCCACCAGAATATACTTGGCAGCTTGTAATAGCAAGTGGAAACACAACATACTTAATGCAATTGTCAAAAAAGGTCACTGCAGAGAAATGTGCAAAGCTCAGAACTGCATTTTCAGAAAGATTCAAGACTTTCTGTCAGCCTGTCAGTATTTGGGCAGGCACTCTGAAGAGCACAAGAGATTTGTATCTGTGGTGGCCCTGCTGCAGCATCTTTGAGGGCGGAGGGGGAAGTTAGGTATAGAAAGTAAATTTTTTCAGGCTAGCTTTTTTCCCCACGTAGCTTCTTTACTGCAATCTCCATAGTCTTACACAGAGTCATCAAAATTGCCGTAATACTCTCCAAAAATCTTTCCCACAGGTAAAACCTGTACTCTAGAAATGAATAGGGCACATCAATTTCCATAAGAGCTGGGTGCATATGTAATCATCCTTCTCCCCCATCCAACTGAGCTACCTATAAATCTTATGTCAGATGCTTTTACCACCTCAGTGTGCACCTTGGGCTTAGTCTACACTTTTAAGTTTTGCGGATATAGCTACACCGGCTAACCCCACCTACTGTAGATGCAGCTTATACTAGCAAAAAGAGTGCTTTTGCTGAGTGAAATAGGCTACACCCACCATGGCACATTTCTGCCAGTATAGCTGCGGCTACACTAGGGCAGCAAACATTGCTAGCATGGAGCTGGCCTTAGTGCACTTTAAACCTTTTCAGAAGGAAAGGGCAAATCTTGCCCAGGCAGCTGCCTGGGGAGCTGGATGGGCTGCAGGAAGCACTCAGCCCTTTGGTCTCTGGGGACACATTCAAATCTTGGAAGGGCCACACCGAGGGAGGCGGTGTCACCATGCAGCTACATTCACTGGGTACCTCCTGCAAGCACTGTGTCAGTGACCAGGGACGCCAAGGCAGCCCTGCGTCTGCCAGTCTCTCCTCCCAGTCACAACGCAAGCCCCAAGGACTGGCCAGAGAGATGTGGTTATTGCACCGGAACCCCCACTTCCCCACTCCATGGGGACAGAGATGGCCCTTGGAAGCTGAGTTAGCCAGCCTGACCTATGACGCTGAGGGGCAGGGCAAATAGATTGCAAGTCCCAGCGTGCAAAGCAGCAGGGCAGGGTGCATTGCACGATGGAACTTATAGTTTCCAGGGGCTGTTACCGGGATACCACCGTAAACAATGCCTCCAGGAGCCGCATTGTTCTCTCTGCGGCAGGCGGGCTCCCAAGCACCATGCAACCTGTAAGTTTCTCCCCACGGCTGCTGCCCGGCACTTCCTCGCAGTGCCCTGGCCGGGAGAAGCGGAGGTCACGGAGAAGGGTTTGCTGGCTAGTGCAAGGGGAGGAGGGTTGCAGATAACGCCTGCAAACAGCCCGAGCAGGGACAGCACCGGCAGTAGCTTGCAGACATGCCGGCAGCCCCTAAAGTAACTAACCAGAGGGGCCAGGCGCAAGCTGCCTACACAGTCTGCAAAGTGATGTAGACTTTCAGGGAACAAAGGTGATCTCCTGCCTGCTGCTTATTTTGGCTTTAACTACTAATGCAGGGGAGAGGAGAATGGCGTGGTACCTTTTCTACTGGAGTCCGGACTCTTGGGTTTTCTTTCCGGTTCCACTGAGGACTTCTGGAAAACGACTTTGTGCCTCAATTTCTGCACCTGTAAAAGGTTAATGATACTAACATGTTAGTGACAGGTTTCAGAGTAGCAGCCGTGTTAGTCTGTAGCAGCAAAAATAAAGAGGAGTCCTTGTGGCACCTTAGAGACTAAGAAATTTGTTTGAGAATAAGCTTTCATGGGCTAAAACCCACTTCATCTGATGCATGGAGGTGCCACAAGGACTCCTCCTTGTTTTAACATGTTAGTGACACTTATCTCCTAGGGAAGTTGCCTTCTTAGAGATCTTCTGGTGGTGGAAGGTGCTGTACTATATCAGGAAGAATTATAATTGTTTGCTATCAGAAGGCTTCAATACAAATTAAACCGCCTGCCATTTTGGTTTTAATGACCATATGTGACCACACATTTAAGCGAGCAGCCAGAGAGTTATGTCTGCACGGTATAGTTTGCAGACACAGTTAAGTTCTTTATTCCGTTTTGCTATCACTGTTTACACTTGTAGCTCATTATCCATCTCCTGCATCACTGATCATCACCTTCTACTTGATCTTTAACTGAATTGATAATCCCATGTTTGCAATCTCAAGATCCTGCATTTATGCAATCCCTTTCATCAGAGGATTGCAAAGCACTAGAAAAAAGGTTTTTTTTATTTCCATTGTACAGTTGGAAAAATTGAGGCCCAAAGAGGGCAAGATCAAACAATTGGTTAGTGTGAGCATCAGGAATAAAACCCAGATCTCCTGACTCCCCGTTCAGGGTTCTAACCATTATGCAGGTTGCCTTCTGCTGACATGAAATTATTTTGATATTCTAAGGTCTTGTCCACATGGCCCTGCAATGCGAACTTCTGGCATGTGAACTCCAGTGCACATTAAAGTGTTGCGCTCTCACTACCCCAGGTGGTCCCTGCTAATGTGATCTAAAAGGTACCAAGTTTACTTATTAGCATAGTCCTGTTTGAAACATAGCCCTTTTAGTTCATGCTAGCAGGATCTACACAAGGCACTGCAATTCACACCCCTGTCATCCACACTGTGACTGTGGGGGCTGTGTAGACAAGCCTTAAGTCCAGTGTTCTGACAACGTTTTAGAACTGAGTCAGAGTCTGTGTGGATTTCTGTGAGACTGGTTGGTCAGCTGACAAAAAGTGACAGAAAACCTTAATGCAATACTGTATTTAAACTAATTATCCTTAACTGAAGAGCAAGGGTCCCAGCAATTGGATGCATGTTATCTTAAAGGTGACCTGCAAAGGGTTTTTTAAGCCTTTGCAATCTTTCCTTTTTAATGATGTATAAAGAAGACTGAAAGGTTTTTGGTGGTTTTTTTTCCCTTCCAAATGTTTTTTTCTCCTTATTTTTTACTTGGAAATACAAAGAATATAAAATCTTATCTTCTCTGGTTTTGTTGGATGACCACTGGGAGGTCTAAAAGATGTTTTGCAAATTCTTCATACCTAAGTTAAATGAGCAAGGAACCTGCTGAATCTTTAACAAAGATTTCCTTTCTCCAAAGTCTTAAATAGTCCTTGAAGTTAAATAGATGTTACCAGAAACAAACAAAAAATAATGTGTTTTAAAGAGCCTGACTAAACCCCTTTCTGTTCTTAATAGCTTTGCATTTACTAGTTCTCCAGAGTCTTCCAATGTAAGCATGATTTACATTTCTAATGTTAAAAAAAAGTTAAAACCCCCCAGTAAACCTTTCAGACCTTCTTTAGAATCTGAAATAAGCAAAAAAGAATTAAAAACCCATTTTTCTCTTCCTTAGTCGGTCAGTTTTTGACCCCAAAGATTTTGTCTGTTTGGCCAGCTCAGGAACCAGTTTCAGGGACTTGCCTGACAACATGTGGGTGAAATGGACAATTGAGACAGACCAAACTATGGTCAAACTACATAGTGTTTGTATTATGAATACTTTGTTTAATTGGGTTGAGAATATGCCTGGATTAGATTTTAAAAAGTAGTTAAAGAGCTTACACATGACATTATATTTTAATTTTTATAGATGACAAAAATAGCCCCAGGGGTGTGGTACTGGAAAGAGGATACCAAAACACTTGAATTTGCAAGGTAAAAGTTAAAATTTTTAAAATGTACAAACTAAGGCCTTGATCCAGCAGTCCTTATACAGGTAAAAATTGGATCCCAATGGGGTTTTGCCCAAATATGAACTGCAGGACCAGGCCCTACATATTTGTTTTCCCTGTGGAGGGAATAGCTTTTTAACTTTCACTCTGTAGAACGTATTGTCGTTTACCCCAGTAGATTAATGGAAAGAGAAATTTGCCATAGAAATAATGAATATGTTAGTGACATTTACTTTGCACTACTCTCCAGCAGTGTTCACTACAAGAGGATTCCAGCATGTTATATCAGATAGGCACATGCCTGAGACAATGCTCTGAAAGCCAAGGGCCAAATTCAGAACTGATACATTGGGTGCAACTTCAATGAAGACATGGAGCTGTGTCCACTGCTATGTTTGACCCTGAAGTACTTTCAAGCACCCAGGAACTGTAGGCATAATGCAACTGCGCCTGTCAAGGGGTGATATTGCTCTTAAACATTATTATTTTTTTACATTTTTGTGGCAGTTGTGGATTAAGACTTTAATGGGCCGAAATCTACAAAAAATTTGGGCCACTGAAAAAAAATATAGGCTTCCTGTTCTTTCCCGAAACAGCTGACAGTGTGAGTATGTGCCATGCAGGGCGGATGATTTGGAGTCGGTCACACATGACTCCCACTTGCTGCCTCCCCGCCCCTTTCATATGCATTCCAGATCTTCCTCAGGTGTGGATTTCTCCTGTGTATACTGTCTCTTCCCTACTCCTGCTGCTTTGTCTGCCCATCACACATGCCCCTTTAAATAATGGGTCCCAGCAAGTCTACCAGCCTCTCTGCTGTCTTCAGGTGTGCTGCTCCCTGCCTGCCTGCTTGCCCTGTAAGGATTAGTGAGTTTCTTGTGTCCCACAGTGTACAGGGACCCTGACAGCAAACTCTAGAACAAGGTGGCTCACTTTTCAAACCTATCCTCTCTGAGACAAAAGAGGAGTAAGAGCCCAGTCAGGGGCTCATTGATTTCAGTTGGAGCAGGAGCAGGCCGTAGGTCAGGAAACAACCTTTCCCTTCCTATCTCTCTCCTACCTTGCAGTGCTCTGTGTGGCAGATGCAGGAGTGGGAGGATATGAAATTCGTCAGATGTATTTGTCCCTTTCTAAACCTGCCTCGATGGATAGCAAAAGCAATGTCTGATACCCTGACCCAATCACCGTTCAGAGATTTGTCTCAGTGTCACAGGGAGGCCCAAACATGTGGGTGTTAAATTCCAGTATATACTGAATGTGTTGCACCACTTCCCTGTCCAATTGCACTTTACCTTTCTGAATGTTCACTCTGTATGTGTTACAGCTCCATCCCCGCCGCAGATGCTAAAGAGAAACTCAAGAAGGGCAAAACCATCCATTTTCAGGAAATGGGTAGTAAAACACTAGACAGGTATTCCAGTTTAAACTCACTTTGTTAAAACAGGAAAGCAGCATTATTTGGGTGGAACCTTTTGCCCATAGTTTTAAGAATCTATATTTTATCTTGTTTTAATGAAGTATGTAAGGCAGAAAGTAATCTGTCACTTCAGCAGTCATTTCAGGCTGCGTGGTTAGTGGTCTGAGCACAGGACTGGGAGCCAGGAACTCCTAATGTCTATTCCTAGCTCTGACTCCAGCTCCTTTTGGTCATGGGCAAGTCACTGAACATCTCTGCCGCTGCTTCCATATCTGTTAAAATGGGGACAATAATACTTATCTATAGAGAGGGGTCTTGTGAGGATGGATTAATTAATTCATGTTTGTAAAGCACTTACATTTGTTGTTACCATTATTATTTATGTTACACATGGACTAGATTGGCATACACTGAAAGGCACAGTTAACTTTCCTCTTTACCACCCATAACCTAAAATGTCTTTGACCTAAGTAGTATGGTCACAATTTATTATATTACCAAATGAAAGAACCACATTCAGAAGTGCTCTGAAGAGTTGAAGGACCTTGGTTGGCTGAACGTGGTCTACTTGCAATAGCTTGTTAAAGAAAGAAAGAAAGAAAGAAAGAAAGAAAGAAAGAAAGAAAGAAAGAAAGTCTTCAGAGTATTCATCAAACCTTTTTTAACTACCAGTTTCATCTTTAAATTGAATCAACTGAAAAGAGAACGTCCTAGATGTTAACAGCAAACTTGTATCTGACTGTAACCCAAATAAGTGGAATTAACAGCGTATTTTAAATCCCGCCTGTAGATCGACTCCTAGTATGTTTCGAGATTTGTTTGGTGCAAGATTCCCTGAGAAAAGAATGAATATACAAGAAGAGAAATCCCCTAGGCTGTCGAAGCGGGGACAAAATGAGTGTGTTACATTAGACGATGTTAAATGTGAGTAAACACTGTCATTTGGTCTCAGCACAGTGTTATCCTTACAGATTAGGAAAGTATTTCCTCTAAAAGTTTTTCCTCAGAAATATTTTTGACATCCATTTTTTCCACTTGGTGCATTTTTAGATGCTGCTTTGTTTCTGGTACAAGAAGATGAATCATATCATATACCTTCTTTTACAGCAGTTATGAGGTGTGTAGTCTGGAATTTGTTCTAAGAATTTTGTGTGTGTGTGCTGTGTGTTTTAATAACTGATGGTGATGGATTCAGAGCTTATAAAAAGTGGAGAGCGAAATATTAGAGCTTTAAAATCTCTCCTCTGTCAACTACAAAGTTCAGTGGAAAGTGCTACCAAATGCATTTCAGCCCTAACAGAGAACAACAAGGTAATTCCCTTACTCTTATGAAAGGGTCTTTCACTGTGTTTACTAAGGGCTAGATTGTGATTTGGGGCTAAACACTCATGCAGGATAGTAATTCTAATTGCATCCCCATGCAGACTTACTCACACATCGGGTCTGGCACAAGGCCCTAGAAGGGAGGAAAGAATAAGGTGGAGCCTTTGTTCTGCGCTGCCAATACTAGAACTGCTGAGCTGGTGCAGAAGGTGTCAGAATTTGCTGCTGGTATTTGTCAGCAGTAAATTACTTCCTTGCTGCCCAGAACAAGAGGGAAACAGAGAAGGAATTATACCTCAGAGATACATCCCTGAGGCACAATGGGGTGGTACCACTTCCTCACTACCTTTTGCTCAGGGCCCGGCCTACAGCCACATCTAGCCCTAAGGGAATGATCACTTGGGAAGAGAGGCGTTTTTCTGCTTGGACTTTTAAATGCGGGTTCCACACTTAATGGTGTATTTTGTACACAGAAGTCATATGTTTTATAACCCACCTGCTTCAGAAGGCCCATCTCCTGGAATGTCCACATGCAGATCCACCCTTCAGCATGTTTCTTGGACTGTTTTGATTAGTATTTCTGTAGGGACATGTCCCTGCAAACCCTTGCAAGTGGGTGTAGTGCTTACTACTATGAATAGGTCTACTAGGAAGCTCTAGGCTAAGTACTAAGTGTTGGTAGACTGTAGGCGCTTTGGGGCAAGGACATGTTTTTAGGTTCAGCCTTACATCAGTAGTATTACATACATGAAGGTAATCTTGTTGTCTTCCATTTAGGAGTAAGCAGTTGGATGAGTTCCTCATGGCTCTGCTTTTCTATTTATCTTATTATCTGGAAAAAATTGCCCTGGAAAAGAAACCCAAATCTTTTATGGTGTAAGTAAGAGACTTTACTGATTTAAGGACACAGGGCCTGACTCTCCCCGTGCAGGCAGGCCTTACTCAAGTGAATAGTATCATTGCTTCAATGGGATACCACACATGAGCAAGGACTGCTGCAGGATTGGGCTTATAATAGATACAGACTGGATTTCCCATTACTGTCTCTGTTGGGACATTTGAATGTAAAGGTCGTTTATCTACAAGGGGAGCATTACAGGTATGTTTTGAAATGCTGACACAACCAGGCACAGTTTACAATGTTAAAGATGGAGGGCCCAATCCTACAAACACATCGTCCTAGACATACTGCTCACTACTGAGAATTGTCTCTCCTCCCTTCCTAATATGTTAGTTCTCCTTTGTCTGTCTTGTCTATTTAGACTGTATGATCTTTGGGGCCTGGGCTGCGTCTTACTGTGCCTACTGGGCCTACACAGTGCCTAGTGAAATGGGGCCACCATCTCAACTGGAGCCTCTAGGTGCTACTGCAGTGCTAATCAACTACAACTTATATTTCCTTTTTCTTCACTGGGATGAATCATGGTAGTAAGCATTAAGCCCAGCCCTTTGTGTTTGCAAGATAGGGCCCCAAGTAATCAGATAGGAGTTCACTAGTGTCCCACATAATTTACAGCAGCTATTACAAATGAGCAAAGGTGTGTATCCCTCTGCACAAAGTTAGTCAATCAGCAGCTTGTGACGTTTCAACCTGTTTCCTAGCTTCCAGCAGGATTTGACATATCAACCCTTAGCAGGTTGTTATGTCCAGCAACCTGCCAAATTAATGTCCATATATTATGGAGCTACAATAGAAATTCCAAAGTAGATAAGGTTGAAAATAGCTTTCCATCATATGCCTGATTTTAACCCCCACCAGTGTCCTTACATAAATAGATTCCACCTGAAATTTTTCATCTGTGGTCTTGTGCCTAAGGAAGATTTGATTTTTGGGCCACACTTCGTTTTAGGGCTCCACTTATAAATGGTTTATAAAGCGTGACTAGATGTTATAAGCATGTTGCAGCATGAGAAGTATTTGTGAGATGGTTATATACTGTTATCTCGTTTTGACCCAAGTGGTTAGACAAAATGCAGGGTCCTGTGGGTTGGTTTCGTTAGGAGGAGAACTTGATGACAGAATCAGTTATCTCTTTGATGCACTCCTGTTTATTTACAAAGATGACCAAAGTCCTGTTTTGATGAACACAGGAGGAATCAAACAACAGGAGATAGTGTCTTTGCCCAGAGTTCCAAGCCTCTTTTCAGCTAGCACTGTTACTAAAATCTCTCTCTCTCTCTCTCTCTCTCTCTCTCTCGTCTTCTTCTTCGTTA